CCACTCTGTGCATTATCTTTTCACTCTGTTGGTAAACTCTTTTGCTGTGCAAAAGATTTTTAATAAGATTAAATCTCAGTTGTTGGCTTCATGTAATACTTGCCATGGACTGGGGTTTTATTCATGAAGTTCTTGCCTATACCTATGTCTTCAAGAGTTTTACCTATTTCTTCTTCCTGGATAATTGGTATTACAGTGTTAATATTTAGATCTCTGATCCACTTTAATTTCATGCATGGTGACAGACACGGGTGTCACTTTAGTCTTCGGCATGTGGAAAACCAATTTCAAAGTTGCCTAGCACTGGGATTGGCGATGTGAGTGTTCCACCTGCCCAAGGGTGGAGCCGCATGCAGTGTAAGGGCAGAAAGAAGATGTGTCTTTTCTCTCTTGGAGGGCTCACTCTTTGCTGTTTGTGTGGTCAAAAATGGTTGCCCCTATCCATGCTCCTGCCTTGCAGCCAGCTGAAACCCCAAGAACTATAAGAAATAAACCTTTTCTTCCTTCACATTGGGTGTCAGGTATTTTGCCTCAAAAGAGAGAAAAGTAACCAAGACGGCTGTTTTGTTTTGTCTTTTAACAGATGGTTTTTATCAGATCAAGATTAAAGACTATTTCAATTTTCTGTAGAGTTTTTGTCATGAATAGGTGTTGCACTTTGTCTAATGCTTTTTCTGCATTTACTGAGATGATCATGTGACTTTTGTCTTGGTTCTGTTGATATACTGTATTACATTTATTGATTTGAGTATGTTGAAGCATCCCTACATCCCTGGGAAGAAATCTACTTGGTGATGGTGTACAAGACCAAAATGTGTTATAGATATTGTGAAATAGAAAGTAAGTATTCAAGAAGAAAGGAAAGCATAGGAGAGGAAAAGGGGAAAGGAAGGAAAGAATAAGAAAAAATGAGAAAAGAAAGATAAAATGGAAACAAAGTTTTATAAATAAGGAGTTCAGGAAGAGGGGTTGAAGTGGGGGAATGGGGAAAGAGAGAGGAATGAAGATATATCACATCCTGGCACAAATTCCCAATGATGAATGTGATCATTATGTATTTCTGAATTGTACCAATAAACAATTTTTGCAAATGTTATGCTTTCAGGATCATGGACTGAGGCCACTAGGCTCTACTGGCCATAGAGACCCAAGATGGGTTTGGTCTTCTTTTGATTTTGAAGTAACACCACAGAAGGAATGTAAATATTAAATACTACAAACATGTATCCCCCATTCAAAAAAAAAAAAAAAAAAAGGAAGGGATCAATGGATGGGGGGTAAGAGAGGGGACAAAAAAAGGAATTAAGAAGTGTTATACATCTGTACCAACTTTCCACAGGTAATATAAAAATTATGCACTATTCACATACACTAAAAAAAAAAAAAAAAATAGTAATAATGCCCAACATTAGGTTAAGTGATCCTTGATAATACTTAAGATTTTAGAGAAAACCATACTGAATTGATCTTTTATTTCTTCAAATCTTATTTAAAGTACACATAGATGAATAAAATAATAAAAGCCTATTACAATGTTATTGTTAAAAAATAAATAAAATAAAATGTTAAGGGAAACTAATCTAGTGAAAATTTAACTAGCATCAAAACAGTTAATATAAAAACCAACCCTAGATGGGCACAGTGACATACACCTGTAATTCTAGCACACTGGGAGGCTGAGGCAGTAGGATCACAAGTTCAAGTCCAGCCTGGACAATTTGGCAAATTTGTAAGTCCCTGTCTCACAATTTAAAAAGAAAAAGGCTAAGCATGTGGCTTAGAACAAAGGCCCTGGGTTCACACTCTAGTACTGCTAAAGCAGGCAATCAATTCCATACAATACAAATATTAGATCTCAAAAAATATAAATAAAACAAAAGAAAAAAATGTATAACCATAAAGTGACATGCAACGTAGTGAAATAGAAGAAATACAAGTAGATCTTAGTAACTGTATAAAAAATAGAACAAAATCTCTGTCTAAACATGGCGGAAGGAAAATACATAATAAATTCCAGACAGACCCTCAGCACTGCTTTGCAAACTACTTTTCTTCGCTTAAGAATTTTCCCAAAAAGTATTTCGTATTATCTCAAACTTCTAATACACCTTTTCTATCATTACTAAGTTAACAAGCTTAGTCTTTTCACTTAACTATTAGAAACTATAAAAATAAAATTTGTTTCACTACCTATCTGCCTTTGTATACTATTACATTGCTTTCTCTCGGTATTACGGAGAGACAGTAATCAAGTCCTTTCTAAAGCCAATTCTTCTCACATTCATTCTTTAATAAGCTTTCCTCTTTACCAAAGAACCATATTTACAAAGCCAAGTTAACAGAAGTCTTCACATTATGAAACTCAGTGGTCAATTTCTCCATTTTCGAAGACCTTACTCAACCTCTCAGAACTAAGACAGTCACTCATAACCTCACCTCCTCCCAAGCTTCCCTGGCTTCTGAAATCTCATGCATACCCCCAGCTTTCTTCTTTCCTCACTGACCACACCTTCTCAGTATCATATGCTGAATCCTTTCTGTTCTCTTCCAGACAGTACAGTACTGTTGGCTCAGTCCTTGGAATCCTGATTACTAACATCTTAAGTCCCAGGATTTTAAATATTACTTAAGTGCTCACAGCAACCAAATCTACCTAGGAGAACCAAAACCTACTCCCAGAGCTCCAAAGGTAGCCACTCCACATCATAAATCAATAGACATTTCATACTTTACATACCCACAATGGGAGATCTTTTGATCTCCCATTCCCATCCATACTACACAAAATTTGACTTACTTTTCTCCTTTCAATATATGGACAAGCACTGTACCAAAACTCTTAACACCTCTCATCAGTTTACCAATCTAATCAAGGGCCCTTATTTGTGAAACACCTAAGTGCTGTTTCCACACTTGCCTCTGTACATTCATTATCATCCCAGAAAAATCCTCTTAAAACATCATGAACCAACACATCAGCATTGGAGGCCAAAAACAAATGGATTTGGAGACATTGGGACCAAGCTTGTTCCCCGCAGGATCAAGACCAACCATCTTACATAGAAGAAAAACTATATATATATATATCTATATATATATATGTATGTATGTGTGTGTATAAGACACACACACACACACACACACACACACACACACACACACATAACCAGACCATGGCATAGCCCTGCTAAAACTCTTCAAATGGCTTCTCATTCAGAACAAATCTCCTTACCACATGACATGTTAGACCCCACACGCAATGTCTCTCCTCTCATCTAATTCTTTTTCCTTTCTCTCCTCTTCTTACTGTCTGGTGATGTTTCTCAGATTGGTGTCTGCTTCGGATTCTTTTAATTTGCTGTCTCTTCTATTTGGAATATTCTTCCCTCAGACATTCTTCCCTTTTCCCTCACTTTGTTTAGAATCTGATGAAGCACCTAGCCCCTCCAGAGAAGCCTTTCTCCCCTCTACTGAAAACACCATTCATTATTAAACTTCTAGTTTGCTTTATTTTACATATAAGTATTTTTCATCTATATAAAATATGTGTTACAAAATATATTATGTATTTGTTCCACACAGTGTCTCATGGGATATATATAAGCCCTTTTAGGCACAAACTGACTTGACTGCTTCTTGGTAACTAGAACAGTAATGACCATAAACAGGTGTTCAAAACCTGCTACTGGGTTAATAAATAGACTAATACAATTTTCAACATGGACATCTTTATGTATAAACATGAATGGAGTATCTTGAAATTAATAAAACTGTAATTCAGTCTTCCATATAAAATAGTATCATTTCCAAGAAGAAAACTCATAAAACTATGGCCTCTTTTCTGTACTGAATTTCCAGACCAGGACATTTCTAGCAATTTCTCCAAAATAAACACAGGTAAAATTATCCTAATAAACTGAATTTAAGATCCCATAGAACTCTGGATAATGCTTACAATGATGCTTCTATTTAAAACCAAGATATATTATTTGCCACCAACTCATACCTCTGGCACTCACAGATACTTTAGTTACCTTTATTTCAGCTTTCATTAAGTTGATTTTTGACCAGGTAGTATATTTACATATTGTAAGCTTGAAATAGTAAACAGAGAAAGGTCTCTCTCCCACTCCTGTCTCTTGGTATCCAGTTCAAACTCCCACTACCAAAATATAACTATTGGTATTATGGCACGTGGCTTATTTTTTTTTTTTTTCCCTGAAAAGGGTCAAGCAGTAAACATTTACAGCTTTGTGGATTATACAGCCTCTGTTACAAGTATTTAACTCAGACATTACAAAGCAAAAGGACCTTTAGGCAATACATATATTAATTTACCTACTTGTATTTCCAAAAAAAACCCTTTATTTAAAAATGTAGAGAGTGAAATCAATTTTTCCCCTGGAATTATAATTTGCCAAATCCTGTCATAGAACTAAGTTTAAACACAATCTCTCTTTTTATAGAAAAAAGTGTTTAAAACCTTGATGGAAGAAACTGCAACAAAGAATCCTACTTAAAACAGAAATTCATTGTCTTCCTGAAATGATGTGCTAAAATTATATGCACGTGTATATTCATATAAATAAATGGAAGTATATTCCAAAATGTCTTCTCTAAAACCTGTAATATATAACTCCAACAGTTCCTTTTAAATCATGGCATAATTACAAAAAACTTAAAAAAACCACTGAGACCAGATAGGCTAGTAATTTAACAAGCACCAAATTGCCAATCATTAAATTCTGCCTCAAACTTTCAGTGATAAATTAAATATAAATTTAAAATCTTTATAAAATACATTAAAGCCATAAACAGTCCATATTTAAAAATAATTCAAATCACAAATGTATACTTTTCTAATATGCTCCTCATATGTCTTACAAAATATTTAATAAACCTATAATCAAGACTGAAGATCTTTAGATCTTTCTAAAAAGATTATTGGAATTGAACAACCAACTCCATTGAACAACCAATATATCCCAAGAATACCTTACCTTAGATGCCATTCTCATAAAAAGTTTGTTTTGACTTTCTGCTGTTCCCATCTTTTCATTTTTGACTAAATCATTTAGGCTTAGATGATCATCATCATGAAAGTATCTGACTCTTTGTTTTTCCTCATGGGTAGAAACCTAGGACAAAATAAACATTATGAATTTGGATAAAATATAAGTCTATGAAGACTTTTTAATGTATTACTTATAAATCTCCTAATAAATATAAAACTCCCACCAGGTATTCCAACATTTCCTTTCAGTCTCTCCCTATTCTACCTGCTTCCGGTCAAAGAACTTCCAACAGAATTACACCTACTACTTTCTCTGTCCCTTTATTCTCTTCTTCCCTGGGAATGACAGCATGACATTACTGATCTGAATTTTGTTGAAAAGATCAAACTGGGCTAGGAATGTAGCTCAGCAACACAAGCACCTGCCTGGAAAATTGAAGGTCCTGAGTTGAATTTCCAGTATACATATAAGAAAAAAAAAAAAAATCTAACACTATCTCTTCTTTTCTCTTCCCTGGAGTTAAAATTCCTTACCACTGTTAAAGGTAGACTGTACTTATACAGTGGTGGAATAGTGCAGGAAGAAAAAAAAAAAAAAAAAAACAGTTTAAGTATTAGCAAACACACTGCTGTGAACTTAATTTGGACAATGTTTGCGCCCAAACCCCAAAAGTTCACATATTGAAATCTCAGAGTGACGATATTAAGAGGGGGTCTTTGGAGGAGGTAGTAGCTCTTTCATGAATGAGACTGACAACTCTATCAAAAGACATGAGAAAGTCATTTTCTTTCCTCCCTCCCCTTCATCAGCTTTCTTCTCTGTTATGTGAGGATAAAATGAAAAAATCACTGTTACCAAACCAAAAAAACATGACCTCACAACACCTGTGCCCTAATTCGGACTCCCCAGTCTCCAGAACTGTAAGAAATGAATTTACACCACCCTATCTAGGGTATTATGTTACAGCAACCGGAATTGGTGAGACACCCACATCTAACTACTGAACCCTGATTCTACATATAACTTTACCAAAAACAAAACCTGATATTCAGATCCCCATCTAATTCAATCCCAAATTTTCCTGTCAGTCGGGTCCACATTCAGGTATGGAATAGAAAAGTGTTATCTCCTCTCCCCTTCAAATCTTCTTGATCTGCTCTTATTTCCTTATCTAAATAAATTTTGGCTTTCAATTTCTTTGAGATCTTTGGAACCAGAATCCCATGATTTTCCCCAACAGTGCTATTTTTCCTTCACTAGGCTTGTATGTCTCATATGTCATGACTTCAATCACTCCCGGGCTCCAAATCTTTAGTATATGGACCACTTGTCCTTGCATTGTATGCAAAGAACAAATCACACTCCTAAGCCAATGTGTTTACTTTCTCTTGTTCCTGTACCTAGATTGTTCAATAGTATGCAACTCAAAAGGAGCTCTCAGTACCATCTCCTAAGATGTTTATAGACTCCAAGTCATTTCTGTCACATCATATATTCAAACCTTTACTATTCTTGTTTACTATTCTCTTCTTCCTAATTATTCCCATATTAGGAAAGTATCTATTGTCAGTTGCCAAAAGAAATTACAATTTTATCATTTCTATTTGTTGAAAGAATTCATTAGAATCATTAGTAGCACACCTAACCAATGGAGAAATAAATATTTGATAGAAAAGTTCAAGATGAAAAATTCTTTCAGACACTCAACTGTCATTTGTGGGATTTCCAAAGTAAAACAAAAACCTAACAAGAAGATCAAATACTATGTTTTTGTCATCTTAAGGGACTTAAGATACTGCTAAAAACTAATTGCTGGAACTGAAAAACAGAAAAACATAGGTATAGCAAGGCTCACAGAACCTACATAATTAACAAATTATTGTGTTTGCATACCCCATTGTCTGTCCCAAAATCTTGGTCCCAGACACATGATGAAGTCTATAAAAAGAAACTAAATACAACATCCAAGAAATGTACACTAAAACTAAAACTCCTTTAAACATTAGGGTGGGAATGTTTCATTCTGATCATAAGGCTCAGAATGAAAACTAATGAAATTAAAAGTAAAAAATAATCCAAAGAATCAACAAATCAAAGAGCTGCTTCTTTAAAAGAATAAACAAAATAAAGTCTAAGCCAAACTTACTAAAAGAAAGACAAAAGACTCAACAATGCAACTGCAAATAAAAAAAGCAAAATAACAATGAACGCTATCAAAATTCACTACATAACTACTATTAAAAACTATACTCCCACAAATTGGGAAATCTTGAAGAAATGGAATATTTCCCAAAATTGTATGAATTCCAAAACCACACCAAGACATCAAACATTCTGAATATTCCAAAAATAAGCAATGAAATTGAGGCAGTAATAAAAAACTTACTCTCTAAGAAAAACCCTCCAACCCGATGGATTCACTGCTGAATTCTCTAAGATCTTTAAGGAGATTGTAACACCAAGAGTCTTCAAACTCTTCAATGAAAGTGAATGGGAAGGATCACTCATGCACTCATTTCTGGAATTCAACATCACTGATTCTAAAACCTGACAAAGATCCAACTAAAAAGAAAAGCTACAGGCCAATCTTCATAATAAACATAGACACAAGTAACATGAGTGAGATACTGGCAAAGAGAATGCAACAAATCATTAAAAGAATCATACAACATGACCAAGTAAGTTTTATTCCATTTTTGCATTGATAGTTCAACATACTCAAACCACATAAAAAGAAACAGGAACAAAAATGACAGTCATACCAATAGATCCACAAAATGTTTTTGACAAAATCAAACATCCATTCATGATAAAAATCCTAAAGGAAATAGGTACAAAAGTACCTTACCTGGATCTGATAAAAGCCACTGATGACAAACCAACCATCAAAATCATATTAAAGGAAAGCTGAAAGCTTTTACTCTAAAATCAGTAATAAGATAAGGATGGCCACTATCACCACTCCTGTTCAACACAGGACTCAAGTCATTAGCCAGAGCAATCAGGCAAGAGGAAGAATAAAACAAACATATACAGAAAAAGGAAGATAACAAACTATCATTATTTGCAGATAACATGAGCCTCTACATATAGAAGACCCAAAAAACTCCACCAAATGACTCCTAGAATTAAAACCAAATTGAACAATGTACAGGATACAAAATCAACACACAATCCTAAGCATGAACATTAGGGATTAAGTGTGGATCATCGTGAGAAGCCAGGAATCACCATCCCAATTCCCTATAGGAAGAGTCACTGATCCATAAGAATGCTCGCTTGCTAGGTGACTAGTTTTCCCATTTAACCGTGATTTAGTCAGTTCTACCTGAACAATTAATCTGATTGGTTGATCATAGTTCTGTCTCACCTCATGCTTCTCTGCCTTGTGAGTACCCAGTTTTCCCCATCTTAGACCTGCCTCACCTCAAGGTTTTACTTTATAAAAGTTCCTAGAAAAAGACTCTTGGGCAATCTAGTTGGGACCCCTTCTATCTTTCTCTCAATAAATACTTAAAGCTTTCTTTCTCTCAATAAGTACTTCTGCTCTTAAAAAAAAAAAAATCAAAATCCTATATATCAGTAATGAACTCATTAAAAATAAGAAAAACAACATTCACAGTAGAACTAAAAAATTAAAATTAAGAATTAACCTAATCAAGGAAATGAAATACCTCTATAATGAAAACTAGTACAGTACTACCATGGTTCAAATGCTTTTATTTGCAAACAATTTAGTTCACAAACAGAACTATTTGGCAAAATTTTATTTTTGTTTGCAAACTGTGTACCAGGTGATAAACAGGACCACAACCACCCTTCCCACACAAACACAAACAAGGCCATCTTTTCCTAAATCATAGAACAAATTAAGTTTGTGAATCAAGGTACCAGTGTACTCTGAAAAAGGAGATGGAGATTAAAGAGAACATCAGCAGAAGGAAAGATGTCCCCTGTACTTGGAGAGGCAGAACCAATAATGTCAAAACAGCCATACTTCCAAAACTGATTTATTGCAATTCAAATCAAAATACCTACAGCATTCTTCACAGAACTAGAAACAAAATTACTAAAGTTCATATGAAAACAGAAGAATCCCAGAGCAGAAAAAGCAGTTCTGGACACCAAAGCCAAATGAGGAAGCATCACAATCCTGGACCTGTAAGTTTTACTTCAAGACTACAGTGATAAAACCATTATTGGCATAAAACAAACAGATGGACTGACAGAAAAGAACACAGGATATGCAAACAACCCCAGACACAGTCATCTGTTTTACCTTTGACAAACGGGTCAAAAACATACATTGGAGGTACAATACCCTTTCATCAAATGATGTGAGGAAATCTTGCTATCTATATGCATGCAGAAGATTAAAGCTGAACCGATACCTCTCACGGTGTACTCAACTAAAATCAAAATGAATCAAAGATCTAACTATTAAAACAGAAACTCAACCTTCTAGAAGATAAAGCAGGTAAAACTCTTAAAGTCTTAGGTGTGTGCAAAGACTTTCTGAACAAAACTTCAATTGCATAACAAATAACAGCAAGTATAAATAAATTAAAAAGCTTCTGCACACCAACCAACAACTAACAGAATGAAGAGAGAACCTACAGAAAAGAAAAAAATCTGTGTCAGCTGTACCTCAAACAGAAGACTGATCTCTGCAATCTATAAGGAGCTCAAAAAAATTAAAAAAGACCCAATCAAGAAATGGGCAAGTGAAATGCCTCTCCGAAGAACATAAAAAAATGTTCAAATTCACTGGCTATCAGAAAAATGCAAATTCAAACAACACTGAGATTCCATCTTACTCGAGAAAGAACGACAATCATCAAGAAACCAAATAATAATTAATGTTGGGATAGTTAGGGTGAAAAAGCCCTTCTACATTGCTGGTGGGTATGTAAACTAATATAACAATTAGGGAAATCAGTATGGAGAGTTCTCAAAAAACTGTATCTTTCCAAAAGAACAAAACACATCATATTACTGTAATACAAGCATAACTCTGTTCATAGCAGCACAATTCATAACAGCTACATCTTTATTTTATGAAAAATTAAAACACTTCTTAATAAAATAATACACTGTAGACCATTATCTTCAAAGTAGTTACTCAGAGTATAAGACATACAACAAAAAGATTCCTATGGAAGAAACAAACACATAATAATACAAAACTTTCTTTTCAACTAAGACACACAAACTTAAATAATGCATGGTTTCTCTTATATAAGCAACATTAAATAGAGTATATGTGTGTGTATTCAAATAAGAGCAAAATAAAAAGGATAAATGCAAACAGATGTTCAAATACTTCTCTAAATATTTTAATATACATTAATTTAGTTCATTTATACTGATAGCTAAATCTTGGAAGCTTATGGATAGATAAAATGTGGTATCTATTCATAATGGAATACTACTCAGTTTTATTTGCGGGAAAATAGATACATAAATAGATAAAACAGAAATCAGATACACAAGCTTTATACCATATGATTTCTCTCATTTGAGTAATCCAAAGCACAAATAAAGAGCAAAATGAAAGGTAAAAACAAACAAGGAGATAGATCGCATGCAAACAGGAAGGGGACCAAGAGAACACCGAAGTGGGAGAATAATATTAGGGAAGATATAAAAATCAACTGTAAACACCACCAAGCAAATTATTTACATTTCAACTTTCCGCTCAAATTAGAATCAAATATAAAGAATCAATTTCAATTCTATTTAATAGAAATGTAGTTCCTCTGCATAAATAGAAGAAAAGATATCTTCCTAGTACTGACATAAAAAGTTTATGATGTGTCATGTGCATGGATCAATTGCCCTCAATGAAAGTAATCATTATATGTTGTAAACATGAACTAAGAAACAATAATAATAACAGCAATAATAATGAAAATGAGGGAAGAGGATCTAGAGATGGAGGGAAGAGAGCAGGGAGGGCAGGGGAATAAAGAATTCCATGTTCATAATTTCTTTAAAAAAACACAGTTGAGTTAGATTCCATCTTAAACAAAAGGCAAGGGGACATAACGAAGAATAAAAGTTGTATCATAATTTACTACCATTGATGTTTGCACTAAAAAGATATACTTCAGAAAATATATTTGTATAAACAAGCCCCATGGGAAAAAGAAATCCTGAATTACCAAACAAAAACCCCTTGACCATACCCTGTGTCTCTTCCTACTTCCTGCTTTTGATTCCAGAGGTTCTGGTGTGGTCACGGGCCACACTCTTCCAGACGCATCTGTTCTAACAAGGATCACTTCTTCCTGGTCCGCAGTCTACAGAAAGATTGAGAGAGAACTTTTGAAGTAAATATGAAGAATGCTGAATACTTATATTTAATTACACAAAAAGCACAGGAAATATTCTAGCTGTCACATAATATTATGGATTACCTTAAATTTTCTGAATTGTTATTTATCCACAATAAAATAACCATAATCCTTTTCAGAAAAAGGATGGAGATAATACACAAAGCTTATTTTATCACTTAAAAAAAAACACTCACAGAAGCAAACCTCAAATAGTTTTCATGTAGACTATTAAATGATGACACAGTACTAACAGTCTACCAGGTTTTGTCCAACAGCAGCCATCACTTACATACAGCACAAATGCCATGTTTAGTGGACGCTTAAGATTCTACTAAAACTTGATTGTAAGAAATAAAACAACTAAATGACAAAAACTTGCTAATTTATCTAATCTAATGATGCTATTTTTTATTAACAGTCTTCAAATGCTTTTCATTTGACTATACATATTTTAAAACCATACTCTTTTCTACAAAATTTTCAAATACATGTCTTGCATAACAGTGAATAAACTTTACAGCGAAAATATTATTGGTAAGATTCTCATAAAATACAAGTAAACATTATCCAGAAACAAATAAAAATCAGTTGTAAGATTAAGTAAATTATTCGCATTTTAATTTTCCTCTCAAATTAGGATCAAATATAAAAAAATCAATTTCAATTCCATTTAATTGATTTAGTTCTCCTGTGTAAACAGAAGAAAAACATTAGATTCCTAGTACTGATCATATAGAAATGTACTATTTTTCCTCACACAACACTAAATGAATAGTGATGATTATTTATCACTGCTTCAGTGTTGTGTTGGGTTGTTTTTTCTTGCAGTACCTGGGATTAAACCCACGACCTTTACATTGAGCTGCATTCCCGATCCTTAGTTTCTTTTTTATTTTCAGATAGATTCTCAAAGTTGCTAAGTTGTCCAGGCTGGGCTTGAACTTGCAATCCTCCTCCCTCAGGCTCCTAAAGTATTGGGACCACAAGCACCTATCACAACTGCTGGCACTCATCACTACTCTCATTGAATGTACATTTATTACTGTTAATTAATTAATAAAGTGTTGTATTTTAAAGAGTCTCTCATAGGGCATGGTGGTGCACACCTATAATTTCAGCACTTGGAAGGCTGAGGCAGGAGGACTGTCATGGGTTCAAGTCCAGTGTAGGCTACCAAGTCAGTTCAAAACTAGTTTGGAATACACAGAAAGATTCTGTCTTTCAAAAAAAAGAAAGAAAAAACAACTTACCAGATAATAGATGGCCAACACATTGTAAACTGGCTACTTTTTCACAGTTAAACTTGGTCTCCCTAAGGAATTTCAAATTACTAACACCAACAAATAATTACTAAATTATTGATTCTGTTTGTTATATTCTCCAGCTTGAAACTCTTCTTTATGCTTCTACTTCTCTCTATTCATTCACTCGTTCATTCACCAAATATTTTCTTAGGTGCCTATCTTATGCTAGAGGCCAAATTTATAGCTTAGGGAATTACGTCCTACATGAGTTATCAATATAAAGATACTCAACTTTACTTTCTCCTCTATTGAAAGCTGCTCTTAAAATGCTCATAGTTCCGGGGCTGGGGATTTAGCTCAGCGGCATAAGCACCTGCCTTGCAAGCAGGTGGTCGTGAGTTCGATCCCCGGTACCGATAAAAACGAAAATGAAAAAGACCAAAAAAAAAAAAAAAAATGCTCATAGTTCCACTATTTCTTAGTTTTCAATCTCTGACTGAAACTTAATTATCACTGGTATTGCCAAAAATACACCATACCATTCTTTACTTAAGAACCTACAGAGATCATATATAAAACTAAACCAAGTATGGCCACAGATAAGTGCAAGTTCATAAATTACCAACCATGAAATACTTGTACTAGCATTTCAAGGTAACTACAGATAAGTACAGAAATAGTTTATAAACATTTATATAAATCACATACAGCAATTTTATGTGTTCAATCTAAAAAAATGTATTTCATTTTTCAGTAATTTGTTTCTGTAGCATTTTATAAAACTCCTAGTCTATAATGGACTGGAAAATTTTAAACACATATATGTTCCCGAAATATACAAATAATTCAGATGTCACATTGTCTTTGTTGCTCAACTATGAAATGAAGCATGTAGCCACAGATAATGCTGTTACCAAGTAACAGCTACCATTACCAAGTATCATTTCTATTGCTAGATGACAATCCTTTTGGTAACTATGAATCCACTTATAATTGTTTACCTTTGCCACTTTTTCCAGGCCAAAGACCAAGCTACCCTCTACCTGATGGCTACATGGCCTGGCACAATGTCAAACAATAGAGGGTACTCAATAAACGCTTGAAAAATGGAATTTAAAAACCTGTACCTCAAACAGATTAATATATTTCCAAAGCAAACCCACTCTGTTCCCTTTTAATTGCCTCTTTGTCTATTTTCTGTTCTGTAGGTCTATTGTTATAAAAAGCCTGAAATTGGTCTATTCGTGTACCCAAGACAGAGTGCATTTCCATCTACTTGACATTAAAACAAAATACAAAAATTAAGTTTATTCAACAAAGAAAATCGGTAAAAACATTTTCATCATCGATGTGATTTACTAATTTCTCACCAAATAAAAAATAAACACTTTTTGACATAACTAGAATCTATAAAAATCTTTCCATTTTTAAAAGAATGCCAAATGTCCCAGATTTTTAATTTCTCCACAACTGCAGTTTATGACACAAGACTTTACATTTTGAAAACTTAACATTTTATATGATCTCTCATTAATAAATCTCAAAATATCCATGAACTATTCATTCATTAATTATATAACAGCTCTCTGGATAATGCAAATCATGAATTAATTTAATGGAAGAGAGAAAAAAATAAAACAGCTTATATTTATAAAATCAATCTGCTAAGCAGGGATGTACTTACCCTATTAGTATTTATAATATTTATGGGAAAGTAAGTAATTTTTTCTCACAAATTACACTGTTGCTTTTACAGTAACAAAGAATTGTATTTACTAACAAAATATGCCTCAAGGTCCACTCATTCTAAATTCCCACTTAATCCAACAAATACTGAAACGTAACCATCTTTCTTATCTTCCTAGGACAAAGATCAGGCTGCATACCACTTTATGCATAAGGTCCACCACAGTGTCACACAACGGCAGGTACTTGATGAGTGCTTAGGAAGAGAAATTAATACACCAGTGCTTCATAGAGATTAATTATACTCCAAAGGATCATCTGCTTTCTCCTCTGCAGTAGTGCCCTAGTTCACAAATTCAATTTCCATGATTCTGTTTGCAAACTGAACTGCATAAAAACCAAATCAAATTTCCCCAAAGGTCAACATTGTACCTAACTACTGAATTTGTTTGGATTCTCTTCCAACTCGGTTTGTGACCAGAATTATGGGAAGAACCAAGTTCATGCACTGAGGTACCACTGTATTTTCTTCTACTCACTTTTCCACTTTCTATTCCTTAAGCTTGCCAATACAAATTGCACTGTTTTTGTGTTTGAGTACCCCACATAGAAATATCAAGGAGATCTAAAATACTAAGTTCCCAATTAGCTATCACATTAATACAAAACACAGGGTTTACTTAAGAATCTGTATAAGAGTTAGCAAACTGTGGCCTACAAGCCAAATGCAACCTGCTATTAAGTCCAGGAGCTAAGAATGCCTTTACATTTTTAAGTGGCTGGAGTGACACAAAAGTATTTTGTGACAAAAAATTATACAATTCTAAACTTAGGGAATTGTATAGTGAGATCTTGTTTTAAAAATACAAAAAGAAATAAATAAAATTGAAAATAAAAAAGAAATGAGTGAATCAAACCATGAAAAGACATGAAGTAACCTTAAATGCAAACCATTAAGTGAAAGAACCAACCTGAAAAGACTACCTACTATATGACTGCAATAATAGAACATTCTGGCAAAGTTAAAACTATGGAGGCAATAAAAAGATCAGTGGCTAACAGAATTTAAGGTGTAGCAAAGGATGAAGAGACAGACCACAGAGGATCTGTACGGCAGTAAAACACTACTGATATTACAAGGGTATGTATGCATCAATACTCAGATGTCCAAACCTACAGAATGTACAACAGCAAGAGACCAAACTAATGTAAACTGTAGACCTTTGTCACTATGATGTGTCAATGTAAGTCTGTTAACTGTAACAAATGTATCTCTAGGGGAAGATGTTACTAAGAAGAAAGAATGTCCACATGAAGAAACAAGAATATGTAGGAAATCTCTATTGAGCTGAAAAAAAAAGTCTACAGGGCTGGGGATATAGCTCTGTGACAAGAGTGCTTATCTAGCATGTGAGAGATTCTAGGTTCATCTCTAGCACTACAAAAAAAGAAGAAGGAAGAAAAGCCAGGGGGTAGGGAGAGAAGGGCAGGTAAAAAAAAAGAACAGAAAAAGAAAAGGGAAAGGAAAAGGAAATAGAGAAAAAAGGAAACTAGGGGTTTAGCTCCATGGTAAAGCACTTCCCTAGCATGCATGAGGCACTGGGTTCAAACTGCAGCACCTCAAAAATAAAAAAACAAGTATTTCAAAAGAAGTTTCAAAAAAGAAAAAGTTGCAACTACTAAGAATGCATAAAAAGGCTTCACAAAGTAAAGACAAACTCTAAGAAGTGGATGAGCCTCAAGAGGGTAGTATCTGCCACAGATGGTAAATATCAGACTTCCTACTCCCTTTACTTGTCCCTTTTTTTAAGTGATGCTGAGAATCAAATCCAGGGCCTGAGCCCAATCTGCACTAAGCCACACCGCAAGTCTTTTCATTTTCCAGGAACAAGATCTCGCCAAGCCACTAAGTTGCCCAGATGGGGCTTGAACTTACAATTCTCCTGCCTCAACCTCCCAGAACGTTGCAATTATGCCTAGATACTCCGTTATTTTTTAACCTGCTTGTAACTACTCAGTTAATTTCACCTTAAAGAAGTCATTTTTTTAAAATATTAGCTATCACGACTTAGCTTTAAAAAAGTAACCAATTTCATACACATACTACCTATATTACCTAAATCAAAGATGATCTCAGCCTTAAGAAAACTCTATGGAACTCAATTTCATACTGACAGCAAACTATGTAAATTAATCTTTTAAAATCAGTTATAAATCTGATTAAATCTCAAACTTGACTCTTAAAAATGGCTGTTGACTTTATATTTTGGCATCAAAGAAATAACATGGAAACAAGTATTTCATGAGTTTAAATCTTTGTTCCTGTTATGATTGATACATTGTGTCAACTTGAGAGGCCTCACCACTCAACTAAGTAACTCAGCAGCTCTCCATTCTAGGGTGCAGAGCACAGGCCCTAACTGCTCCAGGCTATACAATGTGTCAATGTGAGAAGGTCAGAAGTTTAACTAAGATACTCAGCAGGGGGCCACGGTCCTCCTTTGGAAACATGCTCATCCTGCGCAGAAGGGCACCCACAGAGATGCTGTGAGTCTATGCCCACCTAGAGTGCTAGAATTACAGGCATGTGCTACCATGCCCAGCACAGAAAATATTTACATATGTACAAAATCTAACCCTTGCTAAGCATCTCTTTAGCTGCTATCTTGGTCAAACTCACCATCATTTCTTACCTACATTATCGTGAAAGCCTACCAAGACTCCAGCTTCTGTCCTTGTTCTTTTCTGACTTCCAAAATGAAATATGATCTGATCTCTCTAGTACTCTCTAACCGTAAGGCTTTCCTCTCTACATTCATTCCATGTCAGTAACACTGGTCATGCTTTTCTTTTCATATACCTGAGACAATTCCTGTCTTTCAGCCTTTAAATTCTGATTCCTATGCTTAGAGCACTCTGCACTTAGACACCCAGAAATGCACTCCTTCACTTACTTCAAATCTGCAACAATTCAGTGAGATTTAGATGTGAACCCTAAGACACTTAAGATATCTACTAACCCATAGAACATATAACTTTTTAAATACTGTATCATTTATTTAGGTATTATTTCATTTTATTGTTTCTCCATCGCAATCCAAACAAAAGTTCCATGTACACAAATGATTTTATCTGTTTTGTTCACCAAGAGAAAACAGGCACAGATATTAAAATATTGCCACTGCTAAGCAGTATTATTATACAAGGTAATTATATGCCTGCAGTAAACATTTATTACATACCTCCTCTGCTCCTGTTGTTTTTGATGATATTTGTGTTACAGTATCTTTTATTTTATTAGCCTTTTCAAGTTGGGCTTTAAGCTGTTCAGCCAGTTCCTTCAAAAAGAAAAGTAGGTGTGACACTGTTTACTTGTCCATTACAGAATACTACAAATCCACAAAATAAAAAGAAAACAGTATACCAAAACAAAATGTAGCCATCAGTTAACTTCAATTACCAACTCACAGCTCAGCATACGTAGTGTTAATGACCTATCTCATTTACAAACACCTCAAATATCAATGGAATTTGAAGATAAATCATTTCAAGATCATATATTTTGAGTAAGCCAAGGAGATAAAACTTCCAATTATTTGTGAGAAGGAAGCCATTGCAAGCTTTAATATACTATTTTCTTCACTGGTAATAAGTAATTGAGAAAAAAAAATTGTGAATATGTTTCATTTTGACCCTAGAAAATCTATAGGAACTTATATAAAACAAGTGACTTGTAAAGCAATAAACCAACTGGGCTTGGAGGCATATAACTATAATCCCAACACTTGGAAGGTTGAGGTTATTATGTGTGATAGCATGAATAGCTATTTTGAAGAAAACAAGAGACATTATGGTAGCCATTGTTCATCTGCTATTATCTTGTTTTGGGATCCTGTAATACTTTCATTCTTTTGTTTTGATTGGTTATACTTTGTTTGTGTTTGGTTTGATTCTATTGTGTGTAATGGTATGGACAGCTAATCTAAAGAAAATGAGACACATTATGATAGTCATTGTTGAATTCCTTTTGTCTGGATTTGAACTCCTGTATTGCTTATATTGTTCTGTTCTGATTTGCTTCATTGTATTTTGTTTGTTTTATCCTCTTTAAAATAAATTTTTTAAAAAAATCACCATGAATTTGAGGTCAGCATAGGTACTACATACTGAGTTCAAGGCCAGTATGGGCTACAGAGTGAAACTTTGTCTCAAAAAAAACTGATAAAAAATTTAAAAAGCAGTATTTCACAAAGTAATACAATAAATTTAAATGACAAAGCATAGTAGTTTCACTACAATGGCTCCATGAAAAATGGAACACATTTTTTAACCTAAAAACTTCCTACTCCATGACCTCTCATTCATTATTTTAAACAATTCTCCTGTACTTTCAAAACTCAAGCTTTACTTTCTTGCTATTGCTATTGCAGTTGGTTTATCTCTCAGCTTTATCTTCTTGCTCTTGGTGGTGTTATTCTGAAAGGCTTATCTCTCTCAACTACTTCTCAGTAGTGCTACCAAGGATCAGATTCAAAAACACCAGCATGAGCAAGACATGCCTGCTGATCATCTAATGCACATGTAAACTAATAAAAATAGAAATATCTTATTGGCTACTTTTTATTCTACTAAAAAATACTATACTGATAGTATACAAAAACATAAGATTAATGAAATGCCACTTACATTTTAGTCTGATATTACATAAATATGATCGTGACACTCTGGTGTCACAGCACAGAAAGCTCTCCAGCTTCTACTATCATAAGCAATTTAACATGACTTAGAGTAATCGGCATATAAGAGTATAATGAACAAAGAAGCATATTAATAAATAAAAGTAGCTCTTCTATTCAGTCTAAGGTAAACTAGTCTTAAACATTATTTTAAGAATTGAATGTGAGAACATCTAACATAGTATCACATACAACATCATCTTAAATGGTTGAATAAATGAATCAACCACCTTTTGTTAAAAGCTCATTTTTTAAGTTATTAAATAAGTTATTCTCAGAATTAAGAAGGATTCTTAATAATAAATAACTAAAAAATGGAAGCATTTTTAGAAACATACTTAGAAAATAGGAGCATCTTTAACTCTTTCAAATATGTTGTATAAATTAATACAAAATAGGGGTTGGGGATTTAGCTCAGTGCCATAAGTACCTGCCTTGAAAGCAGGCGGTTGTGAGTTCGATCCCCGGTACTGATATAAAAAAAAAGAAATTAATACAAAATAAAGTCAAAAGCAACAATAAAAATTATATAACTCTCTGGAATCATAAATTTCAGAAATATAGTAAAGAAGATACTTATTTAGCAAACATAATTGTTTACAGAAATATTCATTTAAAGAAATAACGAACAGCAATTATTTACACAATATATCACATTCATGCTATTGAGGAACTTTCAAAATTTCTCATGATATGTTTAAGCATTATTCTCCAAAAAGAACAACATATAAAAGTCTTACCATATTCCCCATCATCTCTGCCTTAATAATCTTGGCTCCCAACTTATTCTTCTCATCAACACTCAGGACACGGATGGACTCATTCTCTACACTAAGTAGAAACAAGACAAATTAAAAGCATGTGAAATACAGGTACAAATAACAAAACTGAGACTCAAATTTAATCTTAAATGACCTCAATAAAACATTCAGCACCAAAGAGAGATCAGGATTCTAATATGTAAAAATTGAACTCAGTGTTCTACCATAAATGAATCAATACTTCAAGATTCTTTTACAGAGCCATTATAGCATATGGCAGTTATAGTAATAACAGATCAAGTCCCAAAAACAACAATTTAAAGCAATTTAAAAATCAACTATTCTTCATTATTTAATAATCCCATATTCTTTCTAAAACAAAAACACCCAGAGCCAGGCCACAGTTCTATGTATCTTGGGAACTTCTCATTTCAATGCAGTAATCCAAGAAACTATAATCTGGAGATATGTTTAATCACATTCAAAGAATGAAAGCAACGATTGTGTATCCTTTTGTAAAGTCATCCCAGAATTAATCAAACTCATAAACTAATTTAACATGAAGAAAATGTAGCTGACACTACAAAAGCCTCACAGAAGAAAAGAGAAATTTCCAACCAAGGTCACACTGTCTCAGCTTATTACCTTAAGAAGGATTTAAGGCTACAGAGCATGTAGTGTGAGCTCACGCAGAGCCTGAAGGATTCTGAGTAAAAGAGAAATAGGTAGGAGTCCAAGAATTCCAAGGCAGGTACAGTTCACTGAACAGAGTATCAGAGTAAGAGAATCCCAAAGGATTCTCCTGAATATACAGGAAGAAAATAACTACAGTTAGGGAAAGACCTATGCCAAAGGGTTATAGGAACAGTAGTCAGCACCCCTAGGAATACTGCCTGGTCCCACTGGCCAGACTAGGAAACTGCGTAATTCAGAAAGGGCGCTGCTTCAGTAGTATGAAATATTAAGCTAGACTAACTGTTGCTCTGGGTCCACCTAACATATGTTAAAAGCAAGAGTGAAAAGGATCAAATGGTTTACAATTATTTAGATCACCAGAATCAGTGCAAAAATATCTATAAAAATTCAAAAATATCCAGGACCATCCACAATAAAATATGTAACACCTAGTATTAGTATCCAAAGGAGCAAAATTATAGATTCAAAGTTAATTACAGGCTGCACTTTCTTAATCAAAAAATCAGAATTTTTTTAAAATTCTGAAATCTGATATGCTCCAAAATCTGAAACTTTCTGAGCACTGACATGATACTAAAAGTAGAAAACTCCAAACATAATTTCACATGAGAGTGTGTGCTTGAAATGCAGTCATACCAAAAACATAAATTATCTTCAGGCTATGAATACAAGGTACAAATGAAACATGAATGAATGTTTACACTTAGGTACCATCCCCAACATATTTCATGTATACACAAATACTCAAAAATCTGAAAATGTTCAAAAATCAAAACACCTTTGTCCAAAACATTTTGGATAAGATATATTCACCTGTGCACCAATAATAACATTACATATAAATAGTCCAAATGTCTAAATTAAAAGGCAGTAATTTACAAGTGGATAAAAAAATTAAAAGTCAAAAAATTTCACTAACTATAAATACATAAACATATTGCACATAAAAGAATAGAAAAAGATCCACCATGTCAACTGATAAAATAAAATTGAAATGTCTACATTAATATTAGATAAATTACAGTACATAGCCAATATTAAAAAGGACAAAAACGGTCATCACATAAGACAAAGGAGTAATTTGCCAAAAGCAACATATGAATCCCTAAATGTCTATGTAACTAACAGAGCTTCAAAATGCAGCAAAACCTGACAGATCTGCAATAAGAAACAGACAAGTCCACAATTAAAGTCATACACTTTAACATCTCTCATTTAAAACTGATGGAACGAACAGAAAATTGGCAAGAAGATAAAAAACTTCCATCAATTAAATGGCCTGATGACCCCCTTTTCGAACATCCCATACAGCATTAATAAAATACACACATTCTTTCCACGTATGTACAAAACATTTGCCAAAAGAGACCATACTCTGAGCCACAGAATCAGTGTCAATAAACATAAAGGTATCAAGTCATACAAATTATATTCTCTGACCACAGTATAAATTGGAAACTGTTAATAAATGTCTTCAGAAAATCCTCAACCACTTGAACAGTGAATAGCATTCCTGTAAAGTAATCAATAGGTTAAGAAGGAATCAAAATGAAATTGCAAAATATTTTGAACTGAACAAAAACGCAAATGCATTATGTGTGGAATGCTACAAAATCATTACTTCAGGAGAGCACTTAAAAACTGGGAAAAAAATCTCAGCTTACACCTAAGAAAGCAGAAAAAGAAGAGCAAATTAAAACCCAGTATAAGCAGAATACAAGAAATAATAAAAATCAAAGTGGAAATACATGAAACAGAAAACAGCCAGGTATGGTGGGAGGCTGAAGCAAGTTTCACTTGAATCCATGAATTCAAGACCAGCCTAAACAACACAGCAAGACTCTAAGCAAAATAATAATAATCAATATATAAATAAAATAAAACAAAGCCAGAGATATAGCAAAATAATAATAACCAACAAACAAATTAAATAAAATAAAACAGAGGTAGAGATTCAGCTCAGCGGTGCAGCACCTTCCTGGCAAGCTCAAGGTTCTGAGTTTGATTCCCAATACCAAAAAATAAATAAATTAATTAAATAATATGAAATAAAATAATAACGAAATTCAATGAAAAAGCTGAGCATGGTAACGCACACTTGTAATCCCAGCACTTGGGAGGCTAAAGCAAGAGGATCATTATGAGTTTGAGACCAGTCTGAGCTACAAAGTGAACTCAAGGCCAGCCTGAACTGCATAGTGAGACCCTGTCTCAAAAAGACAAAAAAAAAAAAAAAAAAAAAATCAAGAAAATAAAAGCTGTTTATGCCAGTAGTAGAATGGAGAAACAAACTGTCATATCCATCAATCAATAAAAATGAATAAACTATTAATATATGTAGCAATATGGCTAATGCTCAAAAAAAGTTATGTTGAATGACAAAAAATCAAAGCTCTCCCTGCAAAACAGAGTACATACCATATGATCCAATTTATGTAATACTTTAAAAATGCAAACTTAGGGAAGATGGAAAGCACCAGGAGAGTCTATATGGAATAAGATTTATGCCTCCTAACAGATATGAGTAAAAATCAAAGTACAAAAACCTACAGGCAACTAATCAAATTCTGAGTTTCTAACGCAAACTTTTCATTAAACACTAACAGTTATGTCTTTTTAATGCCAGCTGTTTCCTTCTTCCTTGCAAGAAATGGTCAGTCCCTCTTAGTATTATGAGGGTAAAAGTTTCATAAGAATATACATATCTCAAAACGTACCATATTGTGTGTGTTTTCATTCATGTAGCTCATTCAAGTTGGTTTTCATTTCCTACTTACTAATAAGTTTCTCCTTCAGAACGAGCCCACAATTTTGTCAACAACTTTCCTCGACACTGTAATTTCTATCCCAGAAGAGGTCAGTGCCTCTTTCAAAGTAGTTTATCATGAAATTACATTTCAGTAAAGTTGTTTTTAAAAATCCTTAAAGGAAAGCAATAAAGTTAAAGGCAGTATATATTTTAAACACTTCAATATAAAAGATATTACCTAAGTTACATTCTCCTGAATTTCTATGCTTTCTCTTATTTTACTGAAATTAATGTGTTCTCAAAATATTCTCTAAACAAGGAATAGCAAACCATGTACCTTTAAACTCAAGCCAAAAACTGACCCACTAACCATGTATGGGAATTCTTTTAAGTACTGAATTCTTTGTCACAAAGAAATACAAATACATTAACACAGAATTTGTGTTTTTAAAAATGCCATTATCCTTGCTGTAACAACCAATTCTCGAACTTGAGCAAGGAAAGGCAATACTCTGATAAGAAACTCCCTCACATTCTCTCAATCTGTATCTTAAAACCATGGGACACTGCATGAGTATAATCACAAGAGTATTAAAACGTTTTATATTTCTCTATAGATTGAGTTATTGCTTATATCATAAGTGGTACTTTTTGTACAAAAAATTTTTCAGTAATTTTTTTAAAATTAAAATTATGAGGAACATATCATTTTCATTGTATTATAAATGTAATTTATTTGAATGCTGTCAGTTCACTCACATTTTTATAACTTCATTTTCTAATCAAAAAACTTGCCTTCTCAATCAAGTTTCTAAAACTTTACTTTGAAAATTTACTGTTCTTGTCCATCAGGGAGAAAGTACAGTTATTAGTGAAACTTCTGTATGTTAACATAATACAAAATAAAATAACCACAGTTCACACCCCTCCAAAGAGAATCAGTTGAATTTCGTCCCCGCTGAGTCTACCTGAGCTAGGGTCTACCTTTCAAACTACTGCTTCTCTCCTGCCTTTCCTTCGGCCTTTTCTGCCTTTCTTCACTTTCCAAGCACTCAAGCACCTGCCCATATTTTCCTTTCCTATGAAATTATCTCTAGTTCATCTATTTTTTTACCTCAACATCAACCAGCAAAAAAGATTAAAAAAAAAAACAAAAACTGAGTGAAGGACAAATGTGTAAGATTGTTTCCCTGACATTTTTTCAAACTTACTATAGAACCATTCAATACAAGATTTCCTCCTGAACTGTTACTTAAAAGGTAAACCACCTTTTTAATTTTAATAACATCAAGATCAAAAGCCTTTGTCCAAGTCATCCCTTTCTTTTAAGCCAACAGGCTTTTAGGGATATTAACACAAACTATCAAAAACCTACATGGAAATAGGATTCATGCCTAACAGAGATAAGTAAAAATCAAAGTATAAATACCTACACACAACTAATCAAATTCTGAGTTTCTAATGCAAACTTTTCATTAAACACTAACAGTTATGACTTTATAATGTTTCCTTCTTCCTTGCAAGAAATGGTCAGTCCCTCTTAGTACTATGAGAGAAGGAATTTTAGACTAACGTGGATTCAAATTGAGACTGCAATTTACTGGCTTTACTGGACAAATTATATT